TCAAGCACTCTACACAAATTATTCAACAAAAACACAATAAAAACCAGCTACAGTTGCACGGAGACCATGGCACAAATAATAAAAAAGCACAACAGGAAAACTCTCAACATACCACCCGAACAAATTAAACTCACGTGTAACTGCAGAATAAAGAATGAATGTGCCTTAAATTGCTTACAAAACAACGTAATATACCAAGCCACGGTAAAATCATCAGATAACGAAGGAAAAATATTCATAGGAGTAACGGAAGGACCCTGGAAACAAAGAAACTATGCACCGAAAACATCTTTCACAAATAGTAAATACGCGATCAGTACAATGCTTTCTAAGTATATTTGGGAAATTGAAAACAAAACGCAAATCACATAAAAAATATCATGTAATATAAGGAAAAGATCATCAGCCTACAGCAATCAATCCAGAAGAAAACTTTGCTTGGAGGAAAAATAGCTATTATTACCTCCCCAGACCAAAATAAACTACTAAATAAATGATCTGATTTCATCTCAAAATGCAGACATAAAAACAAATTTTTACGACGTTACTTAAAAATCGAAAACTGAAAAGAATACATAAAAATAAAGAAAATAGTAATAAAATACAAGTAAAATAAATTAAGCCAAGCAAATAATAAACAAATTAACACACCACTCCCGTTAGAATAGACGAAAAAGATTAAATAAAAAAATAATAAAAATCAAGTAAAAATTATCAACCCAAATAAATAAATAAAGTACGTATATAATATACAAATTAACAAACCAATCCCACCAAAATAACCGTTAGAGTAGACTACAACAATCAATCCAAAAATTGGACGAAAAAATAGCTATAACTGCTATATAAATGATCAAAGTTTTTTTACTACGTTACTTAATAGATGAAAAACCAAAAAGAATAAATAAAAATATAGAAAATAAAAATGAATAAATAAGAAAAAACAAGTAAAATAAATTAATCCAGATAAATAAATTAATAAACAAATTAAAAAAAAACGCCCCCGCTAAAATAACCGTTAGACTAAACAAAAATAAGCAAAAACAAGTAAAAATAATCAATCCAAATATATAAATGAAATAATAAACAAATTAAAAACCGCCCCCCCGCCAAAATAACAGAATAGAATAAAGCAATCAATCCAAAAATTGGACGAAAAATAGCTTTAATTACCTTCCCAGACCAAAACAAACTATTAAATAAATGATCTGAACTAATCTCAAATTTTTTTTTACTACGTTACTCAAACATCGAAAACCGAAAAGAATAAATAACTATATAAAATAAAAATAAAATAAATAAAAAGTCAATTAAATTAACCCAAATAAATAATAAATAAATAAACCATTCCCACCAAAATAACCAGCAGAATGGTTTACCGACAATGCAACACTGAAACGTATATATAAATAGTCGAGAAAAAATCCACCACACATGGCCTGACGATTGCGTCTAGCATGAAATAGTCTCTCGCCTTTGAGTGCTGACTTCAATGTTCACTTTTACATTTACATATGCTCTGTCTCTAATATTGAGCACTTTATCCCATAAATATAGCACACCTTAAAACTATATTTCTTCATATATATATATATATATATATATGACGTCGTCCCCTGGTCGCAGCGCCAACTGTGACGTTCTATCCTGATCTACCACGGCACCAGTTGTGACGTCCCCAAACAGCACCAATTGTGACGTCCTCGCCGCGGCGCCAGCTGTTCGCTCCTCGCTGCTCCGTTCGGGTGTCGCTGCTCCAAACGTGACGTCCGCCTGTTGCGTAGGTCGTGTTGTCTCGTCCTGTTACGACCAACTGGCTTAGTATCGGTCGCGGCACCCAAATGTGACGTTCTAACCTTTTGGTGATTCAGGTGGGAATCTGGGAATTTGCGTGAATCTTGGTCAGCTGAACTCACTGGAACTGCTGGAACTCAACTCTGGAAACTGCTGGAGCCCGAACTGATTTCTGCTCGTAGGGCTTCGCTTTTATGGACGCCGACCAAAGCCGGGGTGGGTCTGTCGGCGTCGGGGGTCCTCGATAATTCTAAATACACATCCACCTCTTTTATTTCTGGTTAGGGATTTTCCCTCTTTTCCATTTTGGGAACCTTTTCTCACTCCCACCTTCTCACCATACTTCAGAGGGCGTGAACTGCCCTCCCACTTCTTCGTAGCAGCTTCTCATACCTATACTCTGGATGAGGCGTCGACAGCCTCCTTCGTGCGTCACGTGATCACCACTTGACCAACGATGTCTTAGTCGACGTGGACGAATCCGCGGCTTTGTTTCAGGAAGAAAAAAAAATATCTTGCTTAACTAAAAAAAATTATCTCTTCTCTTTCCCTTTTCTTCCTCTTGATCGCCGTTATCATTTCCCTAGCCGCAAAGGGACAATATGACAACTCTTGTTCTACACGTGGTCTTTGTCAGGTATTTTTATCGCCAATTATCAGAATGGGTGGTCTCCTTAACACGGCCTCAAAAAAGAAACATCTCCAAAGTTTCAGTCAGTCTGTCGCTTCGAAGAAAGAAGAAAAAACACTTCTGGGTCCCCATTCATTTTCTTTCGGTACATATTTCGCCATTTGTTACTTATCAATATATTCATTGTCTCTTAGCCGTGTGTGTGTTCTGCTGATCACCCACGATTCGTCTCGCCTTTCTTTCTGCCTTCTTTTCTTTCTTTTCTTTTTCTGCCTCGTAAATGGTGCCACACACACACACACACACACACACACACACACACACACACACACACACACACACACACATATATATATATATATATATATATATATATATATATGAAGAATGAAATACACAGTGGGAGATACAGGACCAAGGATTTTAGCTTTTCTCCTCAGTGACTTAACAGTTACTACCCCAGCTACTTGCATAACTTTAATACTATTCTGCGTCGATAAATAAATATTTAACTAAATATTTCTGAAGGTGAGAAATAATTGATGAATAATTAATGAATTTTGCAAATTTCAGTCTAAAATTTGTTTTAGCTAATTCAAGTTTTCAATCTGCATGTTGCATATTGAAAATCAGAAAGAAAAAGATTGTCAATGGTTAGGAATTAAGTAGCTAGCTAGTCGTGTGCTTTTAGAAGGAAGACTATTGAGAAAGTAAATTACTGGTCAAATAATATCAATACGTCATTGGTGAAAAGTCGGTGAGCTGGTCTCCATATATAAGAAGGTGAAGCATACTTTGAACGAGAAAGAGAGAGAGACAGACAGAGACAGAGAGAGATTAAACTAAGACAGGAAAACGGAAGTGACAGTGAATCCGCTTCAGTCCATAGACCACTACATATCAAGCATTAGAATTGGGGAAAGGAAGATCTTGTTGCGGGATTTTATGTTCTGGTAAGAATAAGTAAACACTTTTAGTGAGAATCAACGCTTTTTATATAAGTATGTCTACGTCGTATAGTAAATATTTATGGGGTTCTGGAACATTTGTTCCGCAAACAATATTGGCGGATTCAAGTGAATCTGGGTAAAAATAAGAAAACATTTAATTTAAAACACATGGCAGTTATACGCATGTATTAACAAAAGTAATTGCATGTTTAAACAGTTGAAATGAAAGAAAAAGATACTGAAACTAGATATAAGAATGTGTTGTTGTGTGTGCATGTGTGTGTGAAACAAGCATGTGTGATAGACACGTGTGTGTCGTGCGTGTATACCAGAGTTCAAAAGTCAAAAGATGGCCAACGCGAAATGAACGTGCCACGGCCTGGGACACTTTATCCACATACGACTGCATCTGAAAGCAAGAGGGAAAAAAGAGGAAAGGAGAGAATATGTTTGCCTTTTTATAGACTTAAAGAGCTCCCCAATAACTTTTGGCAAAGCATTTTGGGATAGGTTCGAATCGGCACACATAACTTCAAAGTCATGATCTAAAATTTTCTTATCTTGATTGAAATAATAGCTGTTTAGATAAGCAGTAATATCACGCGTAAGATTTATGTAGCGAATATGTCAAAGCTATCATTCACTTTTATGATCTTATATTGGAGTGCATCAAAAGGATTTTCTTTTATGAACCTCTAGGGAGCTCCTGTATACAACAACATAGTGGGTCATAGCCTTTAGATGTGTGCATGAAATAAAATTTGGATTAAAGATGTGTAATAAAAAGAGAATGTATTTTAGATATGCGCTAATAGTTGTTAATAAACATATTTACAAAAAAGTATTGTTTGATAGTCGATTATAGAATGACTTATAAAAGTCCACTGTCCTGATCATGTATAAGGGCTGCAGGTATTGAAAGGTTATCGGCTCTACTAAGAAGTCATTTGGGGAAGCGGAACGAACCGAGAACTTTGCAGCCCTCCGTCGTGTGTGTGTGTGTGTGTGTGTGTGTGTGTGTGTGTGTGTGTGTGTGTGTGTGTGTGTGTGTGTGTGCATTCCTATTCCTGTATAATTGCCTTTCGTTTAATTATTTATTATTAACCATTCCTTTTACCATAAAAACAGTGTTTTAATTATACCACTTTTCACGTGTTGTAATGTTTATTTGCATCATCATCAAAATGTGTGAATGTAAGATTTAATTTTTCTTAGAAACTGAAAATATTTTTGAAGAGGGGACAAGAAAACTGTGTAATTGCGAGTGTGTGCCATTCCTTTTTCTGATAGTGAGAAAGTATTAAAAGGTTTAAAATATGTGCAATATGATACACATTAAACATTTGAAGCTTTTCATTTTAATTGATGACTTGAGACTTTTACAAGTATTTTTATTTTCTCATTTCTAAAAAAATAATTAGAATAAAAAAAGCAAGAGGAAAATATGACAAAAAAACAAGAGGAAAGTATGACAAAAAAAATGCAAGAAGAAAATATGACAAAGAGGATGGGAGTTGTTAGTATTGTGACTGAAAGGAAGAGATGGGATGGGGAAATGAAAGAAAAATGAGAAGAATATATAAAAAGGCAAATAAAGTAAAAAAAAAGAAAGAAAATGAAGGCATTTAAATAGAAGTAGGAGGCAATAAAGAAGAAAACATTTCAAGTGACAGAGGATGCAAAATAAAAGCAAGAAAAGAGTGATAAAAAGAGAAGGTTAAGTAGAAGGGGATAAAAGAATAAGGGAAGGTAGAGAAATGTAAAGGAAAATAGAAAAGACGGAAAAGTATACAAAGAGAAGCAAAGGAGAAGGATAGTGGAGAGTGAAGAAAAAGAAAAGAAGTGAAGGAGAAGGATAGTGGAGTGTGAAGAAAAAGAAAAGAAGGAGAAGGATAGTGGAGAGTGAAGAAAAAAGAAGGATGAGTGGAGAAGGTGAGTGAAGAAAAAGAAAAGAAGTGAAGGAAAAGGATAATGGAGAGTAAAGAAAAGGAGAAGGATAATGGAGAGAGAAGAAAAAGAAAAGAAAATGAAGAATAATTTTTAAAATTAAACAATTGAAAAGTCAGAGAAAATTTAAATGAAAGAACAAATAGAAAACCTTTGTTATTTTTCACAATATTTTCTTCTTTATTCCAGACTTTGCTTCCCTCGACCCCAGCCAGCCATCACCAGTAAAACAAGAATCTTTAATTGTGTTTCTCTCTGACATTTAAATCATTGTTCAGATTGCTTCAAATTGGCAAGAGAAGTTATCAATCCTGCTTCCCAATCCTCATCTTTCTCCTCCTCCCCTCCCTCTATTTATATATCTGCTATTATCATTACCACACCAGTAATATTTGTGAGAAATAATCTTGAAAAAAACGAATTAAATTAAAAGGCTACCAAAATCGTTACTTATTCAAATGTTAATATTTTGCATAAATTATATATTTATACCAATATTGCTATGTCTTATATTATTGAATAATTCTTAATAATAGTGAAGTAGTCTTTTTTAAAAATAAAAGCGCTGTTTTGAATTGTTATTAAGATACCTGTGTATCAGATTTGAAGTAAATGCTTAAAAAATCCACGAAAGAGTTCTTCATATACTAAAAATTAAAAAAAAAATCAAATTTAGAGCATGGAATAATAGGATTAAAGATCTAGGCTCAGGATTCAAATAATAAAAAGAATTTATAATATGTTTACTAACTATCCTTTACAAGGTTCATCTTTGAGTGACTCATTTCCAACTGAAAACTATCTGATCCACTTTTGAACAGCGCGATCACTAACTTCATTTTCCTTAAATGCTGTATTTATTCCATATATAATATAAATTCTGGTAATCTCTTGCAATCATCTTTTGGGCTGCCAATTTGGATTCACTCGCTCTTTTAACAGACTTTATTATGAAAGTCAGCGTTTATACAATAAAGTTGGTATTAATTAAATTATTTTATTCTTTTTAGTTATATCTGTATTTATAAGCAGTATATCGTATGAATTAAGTATCCATATTAAAAATATTGATGACAACTTGTTTGGGGAATATTTGGTTTTGTTAGGCAAATAAAATGCAAGTTTTTTTTTTATTTATAAATAATCCAAAAGATATTGACAACAGAAATATATATCTGATAAACACAGCATCCCATATATTTGTGCAAATTATTATTTTAAATGTCAAGATGGATTCCATGATATTCTATAACAGGGTTGTCCAACCTTTTTTCCTAATGGGCCACACTACAAATTTAGGTATATTCATCGGGCCACAAAAGTACATTATAAAAATAAATTTTTAAAAAGTTCAAAGCGTTATGAATATCAAATTTTAATAACAAATATATATAATTACAAAAAATGCTGTATTGTTGACATTAAAAGAAAAGAAATTATACATACACAAAATAAATTCAATGTGATTTTTGTCTGCTTTTATATTATTAGTCTTTATTCTAAGAAAGTTAAATGGAAATAACTCAGTCTATTTCGTTCAGCAGTTTTGATGTTTTTTTATACGTGAAAAGAATTTTTCACAGCAGTATATACTACTCCATATGCATAATAGTTTTCTAGATAAGTTGACAATTTCATCAAATTCATTGAAAGTATAACTTCTTTATAAAATTCAAGAAGGGAATGTTATCTATGATAAGTTTCCAAAGATTCTTTGCTTAGAAGCTCGATGATTTCTCGCTGGTATTCGGTTGGTGCTTCCACATAATTAAATGCAAATGGATCACTAAATAATTTTAATTCAGTTTCTATGTTTCTAAGGTCAGAAAATCTGTTTGTAACATCTTTTAACAAAACTTCTCATAATTTACTATATTTTTCAAAGTTCACAGAAAATTCTTCTTTTCTTTTTAATAAACTCTGAAAATGCATAAATTGTCCGGCTTTCAATTGTTATCAAAAGTTGTAATTTCTTAATAAAACCTATTATTCGCTCAAACATTGAGCAATATAACTGTTTTTTCTTTATAAAAATGCAAATTAAGTTTAGACAATATTTCAGTGATATCTATTAAGAAGGAAAGATCATTCAAATATTCTTCGTTTTTTAACAAGTCTACATTTGCTTCTTGTTTTGCATGAACTCTTTTATTTCAGGTAACAATAATTAATTTTTTTCGAAGTTGCTGCTTTACTGAGCGATCTAACATTTGAGAAATAAATAACGTCTTCACACTCACTGCCAACTTCTTCCAAGTATTTTTTTTAACTCACAATGGTTCAAGACCCGAGACCTGATAAAATTCACAATTTTCACAATATCTGTCATTAACTGATTCATATTTAATTTTTGAGCACATAATTAATGTTGATGAATCAAGCGATGGTATCATACTCAACTGATTCTTTGAATAAAGTAATAAATCCATTATTTTTACCAATTAGTGCAGGAGCATCATCACTTGTAATTGAATAAATTTTATTTCTATTAATATTGAACTTTTCAGTTGATTAGTTAACGTGCTCAACTATGTCCCTGCCAGTTGTTGTACCCTTCATATGGCATAAGTTCAACATTTCTTCAATTATATTAAAATTGACATAAATTGCTCTAATGAGAATAACTAATTGTGCAGTGTCACTTTGATCGGTACTTTCGTCCAATGCTAAACTGTAATAAACGCATTTAGATAATTGGATCTACTCACAATACCATCAGCTATGTCATCAATTCTTCAACCAATTGTCTGATGTGAGAATCTTATTTCATTGAATAAGTTCACTTTCTCAGGACAGTATTCATTAAAAGCAATTACAATACATTCTTGTATTAATTTATCATCTATCAGCGCCTTGCTCTTCTGGGCCAATTTTTCATCTATTAAATAGTTAACCTTTGTACATATATCAGACATAACAGATTTTTTGAGAACGTTTTGTTGAGAACTAAACTCCTTCTTTAATTCATCTATTTTCATTTTTTTTTCTTCGTTTAATTTATTATATTCCCACTCATGCTTGACAGCATAGTGATTATATTCCTTGCACACGGCAATTTTATTCTGACAAATGAAGCAGATAATATTACTGCATGTTTCAATTACGAAATATTCTTCTGGCCATAAAATATTGACTTTTCTCTTCTGTTATTTTTCTTTTCTTAACTGTAGCGCTCAAAAATGTTTTATCCAAAAACGTACAATAATTTTCTGCATTAATCTTGATACCATCATCAAGTTTAAAGGCACCTAATATTTTACTGGGTGCAATAGTTATTTAAAATATTACTCCAGTTCCTTCATGTGTTGGCTGAATGTTTCCAAGAAGAACCCAACCTCTACCCAACTATCAATTCCATCCAATATAGCCATACATTTGTCACCAAAAACTACCTTTGAGAGATCAGTTTTCATGCACTTCTTTGCTCAAGTTACGCTTTTCCTTTTGTGACTTAATAATGCTAATTTGGTTGCTTTCAAATCTTTAGCCAATGTTTTAATATTTTGCATCTTTTCTTTAAACATTCGCAACACCAGCAACTTCAAATATTTTCTTACTTGTCACTTTCTTTTTTTTCTATCGCCATTATTCTGTTCTTGTCTTGTCAATGTTTTCAATTTGGTTTTTGATTTTGATATGATTTCTGTTAAACTTTTTCAAAAATTTCAAGGCATTATTTTCATTAGCTAATAAGTTTAAAATGTTTTATTTCTCTTTTTATGTTATATCTTTTTTACAAACCATATCAATCTGTATGTATCTGAAATTAAAAACAAATATCGATAACTATACTATTATATTTATTTACAATATGATAAAGAACTACTAACTTGCATAATTTTACTGTGAAAACATTGACTTGCATATTAAAATTTGACACCGTTTAGGTGGAATGTTAGTGCTCTACTTCAATTTAATATTATTTTATTTGTGATCTAACTAATTGCATTGGTTAAAAAAGATTCCAATACATTTCCTACGTAACAGTACTGCGATCGACAAAATTTGTAAAAAAAAGTGGATCACGGAGACTTGATATTTCTTTGACTCCTGATTGGACAATTAATGCCAATATCATGTTTTCCACTACGTCCGCACGGTTAAAATTAATTTACCGCCCAAAATCTGTCTATGTGCTTCGAGCCTGTCACGTGACATACAGCATTTTCCAACTCTTCCTATTTTGCCTTCTCTCACATACATGATGTAGCTGTGGAGAAATCGCGTTTGTCCCTTTAAGGGAAGACGCTATGACACACACACACACACGCAACACACACACACACACACGCAATACACACGCAATACACACGCACGTACGAACATTGCACATCTCTGAACTCATCTCATTCGCCCCTTAAACTACAAAGGCACAGAAATTATTCAACTTTAAACAGTGAGATTTTCTTCAGCAACAAACATGCCGTCCGAGAGAATACAACTTTCAACCCTTACGACTGAGACCCTTTGAAAGTCAACAGTATACGTTGCTGCCCATCAGTTAAGAATTTAACTTAAAGTTTTCAACTCTTACCAGTTTTTCACCAGCGAGAAATATTACTTCAAAATCTTCTGGAACTATAATTCACGATTCAATATATTCTCCGCTTTCCAGAATTCTCTCACTCATATTCATCTCTCTTCGGTGAACAATTTAAGCGGCAAGTTATTAGGGTTAATTACACTTATTTATTTATTAACCTTATTTACACAAAATTTTATTCAGAAGTTTAAAAAACTAAAACTACATTTTTAGTATGTTGCAGCGGGCCGAGAGGTGTGAGTGCCAATCGACCGTACAACTAAAAAGGGGACGCAAAGGCAAGGAGATGGCAATAGCAAAGAAGGATGACAAACGCAGATGGTCCGTTGTAGACGATAGAAATCGTGTCTTTATTTGCGAACAGTGGGTGAAAAGACGACAGAGGTCGTTTGTTCGGGAACGGTATCCGGAGGTTGGAACTGGTCGCTGCAGGAGTGAGCCGGAGATTGCTGGAAGCTGCAGGGGTGAGCTGGAAACTGCGGGAAGCCGTAGGAGCGAGCTGGAAGCTGCTGGAGTGAGCTGGAGGCTGCAGGAGTGCTGGAAGCTGCAGGGGTGAGCTGGAAGCAGCAGGAGTGAGCTGGAAGCTGCAGGAGTGATCTGGATGCTGTAGGAGTGAGCTGGAAGCTGCAGGAGTGCTGGAAGCTGCAGGAGTGATCTGGCGTCTCAGAGGGAAGGCAGTAGCAGAGAGTGAAGTGAGTGGAGCCTCGAAGAGTGGTGATCGAATGACTTTCAGAAGTTAGCCCTGAAAAGGACTGTTTGAACAAATGCTGCTGCTGATGCTGGGTCCCGTCAGCTGCTAGGCTCGGTCGACTTGACTGGGCGCGTCAAAGTCGCGATTCAGGAAGGCTCCCTGCTCCCTGGCCGGCGGTATTTACTTAACTCCCACGGGGTCAAGATGTGACACAAGGTCGGGAAACCCGAGCGTTTCCGCATAGGGTCACTGGTCAAAGATTGGTCATAACATGTCCAAGCTGGTCAAAGCTTAGTCAAGTTCTGGTCAAAGTTAGTCTTAGCAGGTCCTGATATGGTCCAAACTAGACTTTGCCATGGTCGCAACCCAGCCTGAAGGCCGGGCTGCTCCCTGGCCGGCGGTATTTACTTGACTCCCACGAGGTCAAGATGTGACACAAGGTCGTTTTTCGTGGGAAACCCGAGCGTTTCCGCATAGGGTCACTGGTCAAAGATTGGTCATAACATGTCCAAGCTGGTCAAAGCTTAGTCAATGTTTTGGTCATAACATGTCCAAGCTGGTCAAAGCTTAGTCAAGTTCTTAGTCTTGGCTTGTCTTAGCAGGTCCTGATATGGTCCAAACTAGACTTTGCCATGGTCGCAACCCAGCCCGACGGCCGGGCTGCTTCCGTGGCCGGCGGTATTTACTTGACTCCCACGAGGTCAAGATGTGACACAAGGTCGTTTTTCGTGGGAAAGACCCAAACGTTTCCGCATAGGGTCACTGGTCAAAGATTGGTCATAACATGTCCAAGCTGGTCAAGGCTTAGTCAATGTTTTGGTCATAACATGTCCAAGCTGGTCAAAGCTTAGTCAAGTTCTGGTCAAAGTTAGTCTTAGCAGGTCCTGATATGGTCCAAACTAGACTTTGCCATGGTCGCAACCCAGCCCGAAGGCCGGGCTGCTTCCGTGGCCGGTGGTATTTACTTAACTCCCACGGGGTCAAGATGTGACACAAGGTCGTTTTTCGTGGGAAACCCGAGCGTTTCCGCATAGGGTCACTGGTCAAAAGTTTGGTCATAACATGTCCAAGCAGGTCAAAGCTTAGTCAATGTTTTGGTCATAACATGTCCAAGCTGGTCAAAGCTTAGTCAAGTTCTGGTCCAAGTTAGTCTTAGCTTGTCTTAGCAGGTCCTGATATTGGTCCAAACTAGACTTTGCCATGGTCGCAACCCAGCCCGACGGCCGGGCTGCTTCCGTGGCCGGCTAAAATCCGCTGCGAAGTCTCGGGCATCTAGATATGACGGTTCATACAAGAGAAGCGGTGACGCTAAAAAAGTAAATGAATATAATTAATTTCGGGCCGTATAAATTACAGTCAAAAGTGTGTTTGGTGTTTGTTGACTGTATTTAAATTAATTTCGGTTCAAAATTAAAGGTCTTTTATTTTTGTTTAGTGGCGAAAATTGAGTTTTGTGTGTTTCTGTCAGTTTGAAAGGATGTCGTTGCTACTTTTAGCACACAAGGGTCGTGACGTTTCTCTACCAGCAGGCATATCCGGGGTTGTTTAAGAAAAGGTGGGAGTGGTGATTGGACACACTGCGACAAGTACCAAACATAACTTCTTGATATTGCAAGTGAAGATTACAATTTTCTTTCACTAAACAAATTTCATTGGACTCTTCTCATACGAACTTTCCAGACTTTAACACTTTTTTTTTTATCGAAGAACATTTCTTTCATTGAGACTGCACTTTATTTCATGAACTGAAATATTTTCTGAGTTCAGATAAAAATATTTTCTCTTAAAAGGCTTTAATAATTTCAATTTAAAAGTAAATAACTCCTGCTATTAATTACAACTCTTACTATATAAAAATCATACACTTGATTGTTTTGCATGTTATACAGTAAAATGAAGATTGTTATTATAAAAACAGTTTTTCTGTTCTTTTTCTTGTTTGCTGTTTGTTTGCTGACACATTTGTAAAGTAAAAAAAATGTACGGATTGAATTGAGGCCGTTCAAACTGCTACAGTATCTTCTCCAGGTTATCTTTTCGAAATAATACTTAATGGTCCCAAAGCTCAAGAGTAGTGATGCTAGCAATTCGAATATTCTTAAGAGGAATGTAAAGAGGTGAAAGATCTCGTCTTAATAATGAAAATTTCCAAAAATCGTATGTTTTTATTTGTCACATGATTTATTGTTATAATTATTGTATTTTATTAGTTAGTGCTTATAATCTCTTATTGTGTCTATTAATTAAACTTTATCATATATCATGTATTGTTTGCTTACTTACTTTCTTACATTACTGGGGGTCAGGTACCATGGACAAATGCACTAGTGGTATAAACTGTCTCCTTTCCCTCGGCGCGACCGTTTTTAGGCCCTGATGACATGACCAAAGAATTGCAGTTTTTTTATTATCATGTATATAGGATGAAAAAAGAGTATATCTCTTTGAAGTTTTTGCTTGAATTCCGAGGAAAAAGTTAGTAATACTATATTTGACAATGCTCGTAGTCATGTTAGAAATACGACACAACAAATAATGTCTTCCTGCGTGCGGTATATTGTACAGATGTTTCATCATCAGACTATTGTTTAAATTCAAACGTAAACATTATTAAAATCAGTTCAATTTGAAATTGAAAACCACTTCAAATGTAAAATTAAGCAACTTAGAAAAGTAGTAAATAAGTAGAATACACAAAAAACGTAAAACAAAAATTAATCGAATCAAAAGGGTTATCATTGTTTATAATGGAATATACAATTTATCTTAAATTATCTTTAAATTCGCATATAGTTATAGAAAGCCATATAAAATAGTTTAACTACTGAATAATGATGTTATGAATTTATATGAAAAGATTTTTTAAAAAACATGCTGGAAACATTTTTTATCATCCCTCATGAACAATGTTATCTTAACAGATTGTAACGTTGTAGATGGTTGAATATTGTTCTTTCGTGAATGGATAATTATAATTGAATATCCATTCTTTGTTGTAGATAATTCACCAGTGACGATCGGAAGTAGGTTTGTTGTTTCTTGATGATTTTGATGGTCATTATTCTTCTTCGTGATTTTGGTGATCGTTGATACTGATTGTAATTCCTTTGCTATCAGTTGATCGCTCAGCAGTAGGTTCTACTTTGTATTTAGATTGTTGAAACGGGGATGAAACGTAAATACTTGATAGTAACGTTATAAGAGTGAAATAAACACGAACAATTTCTGATTTCAACTTTAATAATATAATATTCGAATAATTAAGAAAACTTTCGGGGATGATTCACTGAGTGAAGGCCAGATAATATTTGCGTACCAACGCTTCAAACTTTAAATTGTGAATCCGTTGAAAGCAATCAATCTTCTGAAAATTTTCAGCAATCAGAACACTCGAAAATGTTGAAAAGTATCCGGCCATTTTGACCTAGAGTTGCGTTTACCAAAGTTAAATCACCGTTGAAAACGGAGGATTTCAGATTATGAACGAGGATTAGGACACGAAAAAGGTGACAATGCTGCTGCAGATTGTGAAGTGGAAGGGACATTGGGATAAGTGTGGTCCCAAATAACGTACGTTGAAGGAAACTAAAGCGGCATTGCCCAATGCAAACTACTGATAATGATTCATCTAAAATAAATTGACTCTTATAGTCGGGTGTATTCGATTTTGAAATTTGTGATAAAAAGATTTTATTTATTTTCCTTTCTACATGGACAGATGTGACCTTAGGTCAGTTTCATGAGGAGCATCACACACGTACATGTGGATAAAAACAAAGCTTGCCATGTCCCCACAGACTCATCCGGATCCTCCCTTTTTAGTGCAAGAAGGAAGTACTGCTTCAATATTGGGATCTTCAGGTGCAAAGTTTGCTTCATTGGTTCGTATTTCGTCTCCGGATGAGAAAGCCGGAAAACAATAAGATGAAGACTATAAAAACTGATAATGGTAATGCTTCATTCCAGAAATCAAATGATTTTAAAATGAAATCACGTCTGTAACTTGCACAATCAACTAGCAAAACCATGAGAAAGAAGAGGAACAAAAAACAAAAACGATCGATGACTACCCCCATAGAAAGAAATGTAACATCCGTCTGTCTGCCGGATCGTTTGTTTGAGCTTTGATGTAATTCTTTTCAATCCTCCATATTTTTGTATTATTAATTGATACTACCTCAGTCAGAAAATCTGATTCATTTCTTTTTGTTTCCCGCCACACACCCATTCACTCAATTAGAGTGATTTCAATGCTGCTGCTACTGCTGCTGTTTTCTCAGTTTTCAGCTCAAGTCTGTCGCTATTATTAGTGAATAGACGTTTGTCTTTATTTTTTTATTCATTTCGTAATTTTTAAAACATTTTTCTTTTATATTTATATATTTTTTTTAGCTATTTAGATCGTTTTTAAATTCAGTTTAATTAAAATTTTTATCGACTTTTTAAAGCATCCAATTTTTATTCTTTGCATTTAATTTAAAACATTCCCTTTATTTTCTGACTTTTTAAATAGAAAAGCTTTAAATTTTCTTTACTGTGCGTCTTGTCATGGAGTAATAATGGTGTGCAAGCTAGTCTTGCAGATCATTATGACTGAGTAGTGAATTCGATCCTCAATGGGTGTCTTATGTTTGTGGCCTTATACCAAAAACAAGATTTCTTTCTCACTATTTAATTTTTTTTAAGTATCTTAATGTTCGAAATAAGAATATATGACAAACGATGCCGAAGAATGTACACAAATCGAAAATATTACCAGAGTACCCATAAAATGAGAGAATTATTTACCCATGGAACAGCATTTGTCCAGAATAAGAATAAGTGTATCTGTAATCTTTGTCTAGGATCAAAGTGTTTGTTGCGGGAATTATAATAAATTAAATATTAAATACAGTTGGAATTTTTAAAGGTAATGCTGAAAATCGACAAAGCTAAGTGATTACTTGAAAGACACAACTGACATCACCGTACTTCTCTCATCCGAAAATTGTAGTAAAAGTTGAAAAATCGGTTAAGAGAGAGAGAGAGAGAGAGAGAGAGAGAGAGAGAGAGAGAGAGAGAGAGAGAGAGAGAGAGTTCATGCATGAGGGCCGCGATATAACCGGTGTATAAAACCAAACTATTTGTTGTGTGTGTGAAACAGAAGACAATTTTACCTTAAAACAAAAAGCAAAAAAGAAATGTACATATATGGTCTATATATAAAGTGTCCATAACTGAATTGTACAATAGATGAAGTTGATTTTCAGGATAATGAAATGCGTCCTGCCTGTGGAGGCTGCATCTGGAGTGGTCGACGTGTTTTCAGTTGTTGCAGATGAACCGATAAAAAGGAAGAGGAAAATGTTAATGGAGATCGCTAAATCTTTTCAGACGCTCCCGCGAGCGAATCTCCTAATGTCACCTCTATTTTTTAGCCACCGAACTAAAATACATACAGATTTTCAAAGTTGCGATAGACTCCACATGTTGCTCTCTGTCCCTCTATTGAGGATTAGTGGACACAGTGAAGTTTTCTGCATAAATTTAAAAAAATGAGGTTGCTGTTATGTACACTTTAAACTAATACCTTAAGCACCAGCATGAATCCGCTTCTCACTGTCACATCGCAAGATATATTGACAAATATATCTTATTATTAGCATGCCACGATAATTGACGAAGAGAGGTGAGGAGTAATCATTTAGGCAAATTAACCTCGCCTTAAACACATTAGATATTAAAGTAGTAGCAGCACGAAGCAGTTAATCACAACGAATCTCTCATCAAGCATGACTGTTTAAAAAGTTTTCAGATGTAGCTGGTAGCGACTTCTCTTGAAAATGAACAAAATTTGACATTGTGGTGTTATTAAGTACCTACAGAAAAAGGGGGTTTGCCCCCAAAGATGTTTATGCTGACATGGTTGATACCTTAGGGGATGATGCTCCAGCTTTATTAACAGTGCAAAAGTGCGTAGTTGAATTTAGCAGTTGAAGGGAGAATCTTGAATACAACCCAAGGTTTGGATGTCCTGCAACTGCCACCACCGAAGAAAACATTAATTGTGTTCACCACATAGTGATGGATGACAGGCGATTGACTATAAATCAAATAGCCAATGCTATCCTGTGAGAGAGTTGAGAATATTCTGCACAATGAACTTGGCATGACGAAGTTTCTGTTCGCTGGGTGCCATATCTTCTGACACATGATCAAAAGCACATATCATGGGAAAATCTGACATTGTTTGAGGCAGTTTCATTGAAAATTTCCTAACCGGGGATGTGTTTTGGGTTCACTTTGAGCTGGAAACAAATAGATAATCCATTCAGGAGAAACACTGCTCCTCACCTGCACCAAATCAGGCTATGGTCGTTTCATGTACAGGGAAAGTGATGTCCTCAGTTTTTTGTGGGATGCAAAAGGCGTTGTGTTTATTGATTATCTTCAAAAGAAACACACCATCGATGGAGAGTTCTATGCCAAACCGCTGTTGATGACTATTTTGAGCAATAATTTGAACAGTCTTCTTTGAACAGTCAGATGTCAGTTTACCTAGAAAGAAGCAATGCAATTATTAATAGGAAGAGTTGAAATTAATGCAAGCAAGATTTCTCAGCTCCAGCATCACTCCTTCATAGACAGTCTATGAACTTTTCAGCCTACTTTCGTATATAGTGCATATATTTGCATTTATCATGATGGTATTTTATAAGTTATTCCGTTTTAGTTTCCGATTTACTAAATAAACGACCAGAACTGATCTCAAAATACAGACATGAGAACAAATTTTTATTGCGTTACTTAAAAATCGAAAACTAAAATAAAATAAAATACCATCATGAAAAATGTAAATATACGCAATATATAGAACGCAGATAATATAATATACTTTAGACAAAGCCAGTACTTTAAACGAAACAAATAATATACCAACTCACGAAAAAATATAAATAAATAAGCAAATTATGTAAATAATAAATCTAGCCAAAACACAACACACATGGCCTAAAGATTACGTTCAAGCATGAATCATGAAGTGATGTTGGTATTTAATAAATCTGTTTCTCTGTATGTGTGTTTCTGTAATTTTGACAGCATTAACCCTATCATCCTATAAAATTTCTGAAACATCAACATTTTCAGTCACTATAAAGATTACATTTGTAGTGACGCAGCAATTTCTGGGGACGAAGAAAATTGAAATAGTAATCACGGTTGTCTTTCAGCACCAACTGCATTTATGCAGAGGATTACAGGCACAGCTTTTTCCGCTGACTTTACTACTACTACTACCCACCAGATTCACTTTGGTAATTTTTTGCATTAGCAAATTAAATCTTTCTGTTGGTAGGGAAATTCATAATTAAACACCAATTTTTCAATTTTTAATTTTATTTTAGCGAGATTAGGTAATCTATTTGAATGTGGCACAGAATCAGAAAGAAATGGTTTGTTAGTGGACATTAATCAAGGCAGGCATTACTGAAAGTATAGGAGTATTAAGTGTATAATGTAGATCCATGGCGTTTTATTTTATTCTAGAAATGCATTGAAAATAACGAATAGAGGAATTGTTTGTGGCCATGAATTGATGCAAAGTTAATGAATATATACAGTCACGACAAGATTATTCGTGCATCCATCAATTTTCAATATTTTTATCCATTTCTCAGAATCTAATGCCTGTAGGATTGTGTGTGTGTGTGTGTGTGTGTGAGAGAGAGAGAGAGAGAGAGAGAGTCTGGGAAACACAAACACCCATACACACACACGTATATATTTTTTTGTGAAATTGGAGTAGATTTGAATAGCGAAATTAAATTAGAGCATTTTGTTTACTGATGGGAAAATTTGATCTAGGGCAGTTGTACCCATTGAATCTGGGTCATCAGGAGACATTGGAAATCGTCGAAATAATTTTTATCGATTAAAAATTGAAATAGAGCTGAGTAAGCTAGAAGTAACTTTAGAATTCACATGATTTTGGTTGAAGCAGCCAGAGCCCCGTGATAATCGCGTGCGAAGTAGTAGGCCAAGGGTCAGTCCTAACCGGGCCGGGGCGAAAGTGTTAGACGATGCCAAGTTTTTTTTATATGCTAATAAGCACAAAAAAGGAATATAAAACTCAATTTTCAGAACAATAGGCTAAATACAACAAATTTGACAGTTAAGTTTAAACAGTTTGGCACGACAGAGAATCTGCCTGGGGGTGGAAGTAAACACAAATTGTCACTGAGAACTGCACTAAAACTGTGTCGCGGGGTTAATATAAACCCAAGTTTTGTTTTGGAAGACATCACCAAAAGTTTGGATACGATGGGTATCAGCGTAAGTACTCGCACAATACAACATTGTTTAAACAGAAATGGAAACATAGTAGCGTGAGCGTTCGTTTGTTGAATACAAGGAATTGCAAAATGATTGTCGTCTATGAAAAACTTTCAGAAGTTGTTACTGCTTTGTAGAATTATAATTGAAGCAATGAATTTTCTTCGTATTATTAAGGGAAACTTGGTTTGGTTGTGTGTTTGTTCCAGACAAATATGTTCAAAATAATCTGTTTTTAAGTTTTAGTGTGTTGTTTCGCAGCTTTTTGCGGGTCATGAGTATTAGAGAATAAGGAACACATTTTCTCAACTTGCTGCTGAAGTTACTTGTTCTGCTATCTTACATCTCTCACTGATTACTCACGAATAGAATCATACCGAATGGTGACAATAACGGTTGGCTGCTTTTCTTATAAATGCTCCAAATGACTCAATAAGAAACTTTTCAAAATTGTCTCAGGTTTCAAATTCTGTCATTCTCATTTGTTGAAAATAATCTTGAGGAGTTCTTTTTTATTATCCTGAACAGAGACACTATGTCGCCTCACTTTGGCTCAGAGGCACGGGTTTACCAAAACGTCTCATTGGTTGTATTCGCTGTAGATAGAGGAAAGAGGTAGAGGTTCATATGTTTTTATGCATATTTTATGGCGCCTCGTTATTAGAGAGAGAAAAAGATTTTAAATTTAGCTACAACATTTATTTAAACTTAATGAATATAGTATTTATAAACTAGCAATATCTTCAGAAAAATTTATACGCAAGAGAATAGTATAGTGGGTCAGCCAATTTGTATTGGTTATAAATAGAAATAAAAACTGACCCTCTACAATTTTTACAATATCAAATGTAACAAAGACAACAACAAGAGAAATAATCAAGTAGAAGAAATCGTGAATTTTTTCAATAATAAATATTTTTTATAAACACAACAAATACATAATATATAGTGCAAAAGTTGATAAACACAATAGAGTTCTTTGGTGTGTTTGTTACTGAAAGAATTTGAGTTACTGTACTGCACGTATGCAAATGACAAGGTTTAGTTAGCTATATTTGTTTTCATAGGAAAATTAAACAGATGATTTTGTGTGTTAAATAGAAAAAAAGTATTGTTCTTGACTCACTGATTGTTATCGCTCATTAACCAGAGATTCTTGTGGAATGGAATATTTTGTGGGAGTGAGCGTTAAGCCTGGAGATGGTTGACAAGGTTTGTTGTTGTATTGAAGATAAAGTTCGTCTCCTTTGCTGTGTTGATTTCCAATGAAGTCAAGTGAATTGGTTTCAATATTTTAAATGCCCACGTGGGGAGGCTCGTAAACATGATTACATTTTATGGCGTCAACTAGAGGTCAAAATTTGGGTCGGTACCTTTGGACGTAGTTGACGACACCTAATTAATATTTTACAACCAATCAAAATACATCAGTTGTTATATTTGGCTGGGAGCCTCTATATGTTTAACTTGCACAAAATTTAAGATTTAAAAAAAATGTAGGAATCTGATTCTACAATAGCACAAAAATAAATATAGTGGGAAATATATCGTTAAGCATTAGTTCCTTTTTGCAATAATGAAGAATATTTGAAAGTTTAAAATATTGAAATTTCCTTCAGTGGAATTAGTAAAGTTTTTGTTTTCTTGAAAAATATAAAGTTATGAATATGATTAAAATTTGTGTTCTTTGTTGAATAAATTATTTTACCCGACATGTTTTACTGTTGTGTCTATATGTGTATACAGTCAATGTGCAAATAGATTAAAAGAAT